CGGGCTCTTTAAAACTTCTCTCAAGCCCGACCTGCTTGTGGTGCCGAGGGACGGACACATTTTTGCCGTGCGCCAGTCTTTAGTCATCTGTTTTTCTGCGAAATTGTGCTCTTCCAAAGAAATGGTAGAAAAAATTACCATTTAAGTCCAAATTATGCTGACAGCCAAGGGCTGAGTTACAATCAACATAGGACATCGGATGGGCAGTAATAGAGGCTAGATTTTGAGAAGATTCTGAGTCATGTTATGTGGTTTAAGGCGAACTAAGAAATGACAATTCGCTTTTCCACAACGTAATAAATTATGCACTCAATTTCGCTCAAATTCGCCTCCCTAAATGCTCTCCCAATCGAAAAGGAATTCATTTTCTTTAAGGTTACCCCAGGCCTCTCCAGCTCCATATTCCGGAGTGTAGTTGTTGATGAGACATTCACATTCCTTTACTACTCATATTCTATTATATTGGCCAGTCTGGTTTAATTAAATATTTTTCCATTCTTTATACTAATTTATCCGGCCTCCAGGTAGGATACATTGTCCATCAGATGGAGCACGAAAGACTTGGAGACCAATTAGACCAATTAGACCAAGCCAACTGTGGTGTTAATTTAAAAGAAAAACTATTCAACTTTTCACGACAGTCGCGACCAATTGGCCATTGACTAGATTTCAGTAACGTATCAAGTGTAATGTAATAGCTTCACACATCCCTTTGCCTTAAAAGTCGTGTTTTTCGAAAAAATCCCCTTATGGAGTATGTTAAAAGGTGAACGCGACTTCCCTCGACTGGTATGCAAATCGAGTTAGAGGAAGAAATTCTTGGGATAAGGTAATTTTACTGTTAGCTTCTGTCCCTACTCGAATGTATATAAGTAGTATGTTCTATTCTAATGACAATTTCAATTTGGTCTCCGGCATTTTTCGGCAAAATGAAGGAGTTGCGAGAATATCCTGTACGCCCATCGAACGTCAACATAGAGGCCTGTTGAGCTGTTTGCCCGGCGACAAAACAAAAACAACAACAAAACAATAGAAGACCTGATGCCCGCCTCTTTCTTTTTCAAGTTGCAGCACTCCTGGCCTGGCCGACAGACCAGAACCGGGAGCATTCGAAGCTGAGGGATGGAGACGA